CACCAGGAGCCCCAGGAGATTGAGGCCTGAGGATCACGGTTCAAAGCCAACCCCCGGGGGCCAAAGGAAAAACTCTGTGAGACTCTGATCTCCAAGGAACCAGGCCTGGAGCTGTGGCTCACGTCACAGGAGAAGCTAGGGGACATATAATATAATATAATACAATACAATACAATATAATTATAATAATATAATATAATACAATATAATATATGCAAGGCATCCGTAAGGCACAACAAATAATGAAGGCACTGGTGTGGAGGGAGGAGAATACACCCGGCTCCAGCCCCCCAGCTTGCAAAACCAACAGGCCTTACAACCCATATGCACTTTCAACAAGTCCCCTCGGTGCTGCTACCAGACAGAACAAAATTGAGTGAATTTCTGCACCCGCTGAGCCAGGTCCTGCACCAAAGAGCATGCCTGTCATCCATGCTACTCCATACAGCCACCTCCGTCTATGCCCTGGGACCGTTTCCTTGCTGTCTCCCCATCCTTGTCCCCACACTGATCCTAAGGAGATCCTTGAGTGTGTGTGGAGGGGGGGGTGGAGAGTCTGCTTCTGTCATCACCTCTTGAGAAGGAAGCAAAATCAGAGCAACATGGTCACACACAAGTTCAGGGCACCCGGTGAGGCTCTCCTGGCAAAGACCTGGCTCCGTGGCTACAGCCACAGGGAAGGCAAGCATCCAGCCTCCTGGCTACCGCTCTGGCTGCCTCCGTCCCCTCCTTCCTCCCCTTCCCCTGACTCACAGGACCGGCTGGCCTTGGGCACAGACCCCCCGTGGAGACAGGGTCCTGCCAACACTGAGCTCACTTGGGCCTGGACTAGTGTCCGCCCCAACTCAAGCCTCTACTTACTGACAGAGAAGAGATTCTCACAGAGGCCATGGGCTGAGCCAGGATTCATGCCCTGGAAAACGTTCAAGCTCTCTGCCCTGAAGTCACTCATTTCCTGGGGAAGAGACACAGGAGCTCCATGAGCACCCAGAATGTTCCCACGTGGGGTGGCCTCCAAAGCCGAAGGCCCAGACTCCAAGGATGTAGAGCAAGAGACACCTGATGAATGAGAGACTCCCACTCCCCAGCCAGCAGGCAGGCCAGCAAGCGCAGGTACGCTCAATCGGACCTCGTGTTGTGGTCCTCCGCTTGGTTTCCTGTATGGCTAGGTTAAGTTGGATCACGACGTTCTTAAAATCGTCAACCGAGGAAGTGGCGGTGTGGCTCAAGTAGTAGAGTGCTTGCCCCCTTGAGCGGAAGAGCTGAGGGACAGCGCCCAGGCCCAGAGTTCAAGCCCTAAGACCGACAAAAACAAAACAAATCATCAATCATCTCAGGCTCCCGGAGGTGACTCGGGGCATACTGAGAGCGTTCTGGGAAGCAAAGGGAAGGGAAGGAGAGCTGGCCCTTTGAGTTTATTTGACATGGAAACATCTCAGGTGCCACATCCTGGGTGCACCTCCAAGAGAGAAAGGCCCAGGGATGATGGAGAACAATACATTCTTGATGTGTGGACAAACCCACTCAAGGGGCCCCATTTCTCTGCCCAGTTGGACCAAAAAAGCACCCCCAAAGAGTCCCCCCTGGGATTTGCTGTCCAGTTAGCTCCTCATCAGCCTATTCTGTCAGCCTAGCTCATTTCCTCTCGGCCACCACACTCAGGCCTGAGTAATTTCTGCAGCCCGTGGGTCACCTGCCCTCCTAGCTCTCCTGCCCGCACAGGGAGCTGCTCTACGCCCCGTCATAAATATGCTGTCCAAGAACCACTGGAGTCACAAGGACTTCTGCAGAAGGGCATGCCATCAGCCACAAACGTGCCAAGCAAGCACAAGAGCAGACAAGGCTGCACTCCTATTTATCCCTAGCCCCGCAGGCCCCGCCCCTCGGCTCCGACTGGATGAGCTCTGGTTCACAGTCTGCTCGCTATTGGCTAGTCTGAATAGGGTGAACCGTGTTCACATCAGGTGATCTTTTGAAATCCGATGAACAGTTCACCAGTGATCTCAACATAGACCGGCAGCCTCCAGCTATTTCTTGAACTATCTGGGGGCTTGTGGAGACTCCATCTCGGAAAGAAACCAGTTTAAGATAAAACCTTGCATCTCACAGAGTCACACAACCCTCTACCATCACCTGAGCATTTCCCTTCCTGTCCTAAGAGGAGAGCGTCCAGGGCATAATCCTGGACCTATGATCCAAGGACACTGGCCTCAGATCCCTCAAACTTTATCTCAGCCTGACGGACACACCATCAACACGCATCTTGCGATTTGCAGGATGAACAGATGGGTCAAACCGATTCCATGACTCCTGCATGCATCCTGAAGTTTGAAAACCTTCGAGTTGCTTTGAGCACGTGGTTTTTCTCCTTCGGTCTCTGGATCGGAGCCCATTCTGGAGGAGGGTGTGGGTGATCCATTCCCTCCAGCTTAATCAGAGGGCATTCGTTCTTGGCCACATGCCCACCTTACCAGGGCGGGCAGAAAGGGCAGCCAGGGGAGGTGGGGGGAGGGGGAAGATGAGGGGTGATGGAGCCAAAAAATAACACTAATAAGGGGACACAACCTTGAAGTGGGGTAAAGAGACTAGAAGCTGGACCCCTGCCATTCTCTCAGCCAGACTCCAAGGGAGAAATGTCAGATTGATTCTGCCCAGGACCGAGATCAATACCAGAGCCTCCGAGCTGTATTTCTGATCCACATCGGCTCATGCGCGGCGATAATAACTCCTTGTTTTACCGTGGTTCTTACATCCAAGGAGGCCCGCATGCTTTATTTCCAGTTTAATGCATGCTCCAGCAGGGGCTGCCGGCTGGGCAGAAGCAGATGTAACTCTTGCCATTTTATGCTGAGGAAGGAGGAGGAGGAGGCCCAGGAAAGTCGAGATAAATGGCAAAGGTCACAGAAAGAGAGGAAGATGGCCTGGCAGTGGAAAGTTCTAGAAGGACTTCAGAATGGAATGAGAGCTCCCTCGGTGGGTTCCTTCATCGTTAGCTATGCGCTGTCTCTCCTGCTTCGAACTCACTGTGTCCAACGTGGTGCACGGGAACTGCACCCCCAATCAAGCCGGCTCCCCTTCCTGAAGAGGGAGAAGCATTCCTGTACTAATGGCAGTGCCAGTCAGGGTAGCCATGGGTAGCCACGGGAAAGACCGTGGTGTGGATCGCTCAGCCTGGTGAGGAGGCCCGTGCTGGCCACGTGCAGCCGTCTGGATCAGCTCAGAGGGGAGTGAATTAAGTGGAGATCAGTGGGTCACAGGACAAATAGATCTTGATTCTGTGTCTCCTAGATCTGTATTGAATTACCCAGAAGTGGGGTCCAAAGAACCTCCATACTGCTTTCCATAACCTCACATCGCCAGCCACAGCCTCCAAGGGTTTGGCTTTCCCCCGTGCAAGCGTCAGCCTACCCGACACTTACTATGCTTTGTGTCCATTGCTACTCAGCCACCCAGACGGGCATGGGGTGGGGGAGTGACAGGGCTCTGTGTCTGGGTCCCTCAATGGCTAGTCACAGCGCATCTCTACACGTACCCATCGGCCACTTGTACGACTTCCTTGGAGAAATCTCTCCATGCATCTTCAGCATGTATGTTTTTGTGGGTTTTTTTTTTTTCAATCGAGTGAATGATCGTCCGCAATTGGGCTGCAGGCCTTCCTTAGATATTTTCGGAAGGAAGTCGTTAACTTAAGATGAAATAGTGGGAGGCAGGAGAATCAGAACCCATTATT